TGGAAATGCCACTTGCCACGGGAGAGAGAGAGAGCAGGAAAAAAACAAACCCTCGGTTGACGGCTCGGCGAGAGAGAACCGGACTCAGAGAGCCCTTGGTCCTTGGCTTTGTTGTAATATCCGTTGGCCGATTATCCGGCCATGTAAAGTTGTAAAGAGGCGCCAATTCAATTCCCACAGTAAGCTCGGCTAATAGGGTCGCCAGGTATGACTGAAATGGAGTACAAAGGGGTTTAATAAGTTTTTTAGAATAACTAATTTAATGTGTATAAAATAGCAGTAATTTTCAGTTAATCGTAACAAACGATGTTTGTGGGAACCAAAATTAAATTTCATATAAATAAATAACTTTCTCATGCTCAGCACTACAATAATAATTACCTTTAATAGTCTTTATTTCAATAGTGTATTTATTTAGAAATGTTTTTTAACAATCACTTGAATAAATGAAACATTTAAGAGTATTAAAATATTAAAAAGAGTTAGCCTAACTTATGGTCACTTTCAGCCCACCTGACAACCCTAAAGCCGCTTCACAAGCTCTCTCTCTCCTTTTCTCCACCCCCTCAAAGTCCAGCCTGGTGGGCGCTATCGCAGGTGCTCTCCCACGCACGCAGGCGCTGCAGGAGAAAGAGAAAACCAGAGAGAGCAGTCAAACATTTCGGGCTAGCATTGCAACAACAGACAGACGAGACGAGGTTAACGGTAAAGGATGAAGGATGTGTGGCGATGGCGATGGCGATGTCGATGGCGATAGAGAGCCGGAGAGAATGTTAAACAACATGTTGTTGTTGCCGCTGCCAGCGAGTTAACAGTTAACAGCACAATAAACACCTCCGGAGAGTCAGCCACACTTTAAGGGACATAAGCCCATAATGAACTCGAGGACAAGCGTGGACAAAAACAACACGAGTCGCCTTGCGGTGGGTGGCGGAAAAGGGGGTTACTCGCGGGGAGGGGGTGTGTGTGTGCAGTGGCCAGTAAGTCAGCTGATCAGGTTGCAAGGGTTGTTGAAGGGTTGTTGTTTGCCTGCCGAAAGGAATGATAAAGAAAAAAACATGCATATTGGAGAAGGAGCAGGCAAGTCCAGGAGGCCAGGACCCAATCCATCACCCCTTATCCTCCACCCACAATGAAAGCCGAGCCTTGGCCATGTCTGCGGCGTTACTGTTGTTGTTGTTGTTGTTGCTGTCGTTGTTGTCGCCGGCGTTGTTGCTGCATTGACAAGTCAACGTTACTAATGACCCATCGCTATTCATGACCCCCGACAAAGGGAACGACATATGTACAAGGGTGTCTGTGTGTCTGTCTGCACCTAAAGAAATGTCTACATAGGACTAAGTCGGTACTTCTGAGGTATTATTTAATTCATGACAGCCCCTTATATCTCTAAAAACCTTTCAACCCATTAATGTAGTTTTATAATCACTCACATTAAAATTCAGATAGGATAGTGGGTTGTTGGTAGAGAACCATAAAATACTCACAAAAAAATTCCCGGTGCAACATTTTTTAAATGCATTATGTTTGTGGGATCGAATCGAATCTTGGTAGGTATGATAATAGCCGAATTCTATATGTTTAAAATAGTTACACTTGCACTGAGATCCTAAAAATCCTAGATCAAGCCTGTTTATTACGGAATATAATTATATATATAACCTTTTATAAATATAATAATAGTTTATAGAACTGCAATTCCTTATTCTTGTAATATTACTTTAAACCAGAAAAATATTGCCTTCTAAAATCAAAAGGTTAAGAAAATATCTTATTTTTTTTTTAATTGGACAGATTATAAAGGGAACCAAAAGGATACTGGTTTTATATATGCAGGGCAAGTGGTGTATGTTTCGCTCAGTGCACTTGCTTTGTTGCAGGCTTAGTGGGTGCATTCCCAATCCCGCGCCCCTCGCTACAGTGCCACCCCTTCGACATTCAGCAAATGAGGCATTAATATCCAGCCGGGGACCTCCTGAACCCAGAACCCATAAGCCGGGGCCCAAAACCCAGCCAGCGACCCCATTCCTTCCGCAGGCCCTCGGGCTTCGCTGCTCCGGCTTCCATGTTTTCGAGTATGTCAGGGCAAATATTAGTATTCCACTTCAGTGTGAGCATTTTGTAATGGAAAGTGTTGTCGTCGTTCTCGTCCTGCTGCATATCCATCAGTCGGGCAGCCAAGCGCAAGTAATGTGTCACATTACAAATGTTGTTTCCGTTCCGCCAGCCCAAGTACTTTCCCCCTTCCTCCTTGAACCCCCCAAGATGCAGTTCAATAACAAAAGTATTAACCACTCTACTTGCTGAAATCGACACAACCATAAAAGCAATAAGCGGCACTTTATTAACTTATCAAGCAGAAGCGAAATTTATGGAGGGGGTGGTTCGATATAGATTAGGGGCTCAATGCAGCAGAAGCAGTGCATTTATATAGAATACCAAGGCCAGATCGCTTATGTGCTGACTATCGCCGTCATCGGGCAATATATCCTTCGGCGAATCCCCCTCCAGCCAGCTGCCAATTTCCATTACGTTGCGCCAGTTGACAAACTCATTGTAGCCAAACAACCCGCAGATGGTGGCTGTGGTGTCAGAGATACGTATGTTATAGCGGAATGTGGCAGAGATATGTGTCAGCGATATAAGCAAGGATGGCCCTTAGAACACCATCGACAACCCACTGACCCCGGCTCACCTTGCTCCAGATACAGATCGCGATATGCGATGGGTAGCCCCAGGCTCCGGATGGCGTTCTGCTCGCGTTCCACCTCGTCGCACTGACTCCTGGCCAGCAGTTCGTACACCTGCGGAGGACTCAGGTGGGGGGCACACACCTGGTGCTGCAGCACATAGAGCAGCAGGACCCTGGGATAAGATAAGGATAAAGCTGGGATGGGTCTTAGATGGAGGAAATGTACTCTTACTGGTGGGTCCTCTGGTATCCGTAGGCTGGTGCATCACTGGCCAGTAGTTCCAAACACTCCTCGGAGAGCAGCTTGCAGTTCGGGGGCTTCAACTCAACAATGTTCCGCAAGCAAAGATCTGGTTGGTATATCATGGGTGTAATATTGAGGTATAACTAAGTATTACTAAGAAACTCAATACGTACAATCCTAAATATACAAAAAATGGTCTTAAAGGATCAAGAATCATTATTATACCTTAAATGTACCATAAACACAAATTTTAAAGGTACAAACAGCCTCATTTATAATAAAAATTATTAAATATTCGGGTACAACTTTGAATAAACAAGAAACTTTTAACTTTTTATCCTATACATATATATATTCTTAAAAAACAACTAAGATTAATATACCTTAACTTTTTGAATCAATTCAATCTTACCCATTCCGAGTCTTTCTTATAATGTTCTGAATATTATAAACTGATTCATAACTTCTTAAATTTAGTTTTCCCCCAAGATGCGAAGATATGCGTCCTAGTTATTGACTAACCCACTAATATCCCAGATAGTTACCTCAAAACTCACCTGATTGCGTCCTGTTAAGCTGTCCCTCGTTGACGACCTTTGAATAGATTTCAGCCAGCTGCTCGTACTCCCCATTAGCATCCAGTTCCCCCAACCTGAGCGTTGGAGGCAACAGCAGCACATTCCTTTGAAAAACAATGCTAAGGACTACCCATGAAATTAGCATAAGTAATAACACGCAGTTACTATTGTAGTAAACATACTCTCCCCCTGGACGCCCGGTTCCCGCACCCATCCCGATCTCTCCCTGATGTGCTCCATCCTGTGCAGCAGATGGTAATAGAGCTGCCTCTCGTAACGCGTGGGTGCCACATAGCGCAGTTTCTCTGCAATGGACAGGGCATAAATAAATACGCACATCCGTCATCCGTATCGCGAGTGTACGGTTCATTGGGCTCACGTTTAATCAGGAACTGGGAGAGCAGCAGGGCGAAAGTGGAGCTTGAACTCAGTTTATGACCGCCGGAGAGTCCGTCGAGGAGTCGGTAGATGCGATGCGGCAGCTCCTGGTCTGTTTCTGGCCCAGCTCCATGGACTGGGATAAGGAAACAGCCGCTAATGGCCAGTATTAGCGAGTATTTCAGACCGACAAGCAACATGTTGTCGGCTCACCAGCTCGGAGGCATCTATACCATGGTCTCATCCTGGCCACCTCGAAGTCACATCGTACCGCGTCTTTGATTTCGCCACTTCATGAAGATTAATTGAGCCGCATTTGTCCTGCGGAGGCGAGTCCGGCTCTCTTATTCGTCCCCGGGGTGCGAAGTATAAAGTTTCTCATATTAATCACAATTTACAGCTGAATACATTTTGCAGATTGAAGGATTGGCTTTCAGTTTTGGTGGGAATTCAAGATATATTTGCGTGGGCAGCTGGCGAAATGGTATCCTTTGAACAAGTCGGTTTCCCGCCTTTCAGTTTGAATTTAACAAACGGATAACAGAAAACATTTCATTTTAAGTTCCGGTCACCATTAGTCAGCATAAGTCGTTTAGGGTAAATTTTGTTAATCACAATGCACAGCTACATTAGTTAGTGTAAACTTACTTAGTTTTGTGTAAACTTAAACAAGTCGGTTTCCCGCCTTTCAGTTTGAATTTAACATGGCTGCAAACGGTTAACAGAGAGCATTTAATTTTAAGTGCCATTAACAGAGGCAACAGTTACTCAGCTTAAATAGCATAAGATCAATTTTGTTAATCACAATGCTTAGCTAGATTTGGAAGCTTGGATGAATTGGCTTCAATTTATATAAGGAATCCAAACCCTTTTTTGTGGTCGTAACATTTTCCCGCCACAATATTTGAATTTACCATGGCTGCTAGCGGTTAAGAAAACTCAATTTAACTGAATAAAACCGGTGGGAATTTCCCATCCGACTTGCCATTGTCTTATTTGTCGTCAAAATTAAACATTTTATTATAAATACTAAACAAAAAAATATTAAAAAATACAAATAAAATATATAAAATTTAATCGAAAGTGCCGTTAACATAGGTCGCGCTACACCGCTCAAATCGCCCAGACTCGCCTGGCCACACTGACATGTCAACTTTTTTTTCTTTGTGTAATTTTTTGTAGTGAAAATCGGTAGAGTTTCGAGGCACAGTTTATCGGCTAAATAGAGACAAGCACAAGCGTTCCAATGTCGGAGAACAAGGAAGACACCCTGGCCAGTTTTCAGGTAATCCCATCCATTGTCCAGCAGCCGAAACTCTTTCAATTTCGCTGCGCACATTGCGATGCGTGTGCGTTTTTTATTCTTGGTGTATGGGTGACTTTGGCAGATAGTTCCAATATCGGGGTAATCTATAAAATGTATGCTTTATGCTCTTCCGCAGAACATCACGGGCATTGACGACGTGGGCGAGGCCTTCTCCCACCTGGAGGCCGCCGACTGGAACCTGATGGTGAGTGTGCAGGTCCTTTGTTCGCCTGGTTTGCCCGCTTTAGTCGTCCCCCCATCTCCGCACATGCGTGGTCCTAATTGCGATGTTGTCCTTTCTTCCTCCTTCCCACGCAGGAGGCCCTGAGTCGGGTGATGCCGCACGACGATGCTCCGCTGGCCCATGTCCATCCCCATCCCCATCCCATCCAGCAGTCGGAGCCACCAGCTCGTCATCCGGTGGAGAGCACCAACGGCTTCCGTCCGCCTGGCTACGATGAGCTGCCCGGGACATCGAACGCATCGGGATTCTTCGCGGCCGCCCTGCAGAACCAAAACCAGAACATCAATCTCAACCAGCCGCACCTCCAGCAGAGATTTCCCAGTGAGTTGAACGTGATTGCGCCGCTTTTGTGCCTTGACTTGAAACGTATCTACTATAGCGTCACAATTGCTAGCCCAGCTGACGTCCAGCATTAACCTGGACCCCGCGTCCAGCCAGAATAACAACCAGAACGTGATCGCCTTCAACATCCACTTCAACCAGCAGCTCTACCAGATCCGCTTGCCCTCGGAGGCCACTGTTGGTAAGGATTTCCGCTGGATTCCGGACCTGAGCACCTCGACTAACCGAGTGATCCCCTTTATTAGAGCAACTCAAGCGCAAAATCTTCGAGAAGACCAGTGTGCCGATGTGCAGGCAAGCCATCAACGGATGGCCGCCCTCCAAGGCCAGCGATGCCCAGCAACTGGGCACTCGAATCTGCAACCTCGATCTCGCGGCGGAAAATGAGCTGATCCTAGTGGACCTCACCGACGACGGCTTCATGGACACCGAACAGTAAGGGAAAGTGAACCCCTCCAAAAACTATGTTACTCATTCAACTCTTGCAGGGACGAAGTGACGCAAAGGGTGGACAAGACCTTTACCCTCCTCATTCAATTTGAGTCGGACAGCCCTCTAACACTCAGCATGCCCGGACGCACAACCATGCAGGAGCTGAAGATGAACGTGAGCGACATCAAGAGCATACCAGTGCGCCACCAGGAGTGGACTGGCTGGCCAAATGGTTGCAACAACGACACCACTCTGGCGGTAGGTCTAAATAGTAATGCATTGTTTTTACATATAACTAACTACTGCTCTGTTTCCTTCAGCAATCTGGTATAGAGCTGTCGCACAGATTCGCCGTGCGAAGCACAGCACGTCCGGCTCAGAATTCCAACCAGCACAATGCATTCGATGTTGTGACCGTGGACAGCGAAAGTTCGGCTGATGAATTTGAGGACGCCACGGACTTTAATAACGCCGAGTACATATTCACCGACTCGCCACCTGCTCAGCCACTCAACAGACATTTAAGTAACGAACGCTTGTACATGTTCATCCTGCAGTAATTAATCGTTAACTTGTTGCTTATCCAGTACCAAACAATACGGACGATGAGACCAGTGGCTCCACGCAGTTTGTAGAAAACTATAAAGCTCGTTATGGCGAGCCATGTCCAGACTTCTTTGTGGGCAGCCTGGAGAGCGCCAAGCAGCTGGCCTGCCTCAGATCCGCCAAGGAGGTAAGTATTGGTATATTTTCCTTTAACTTTACTTATTACATTTTTTTTTTTTTCTAACTATCAGCGCAAGCTATTGGCCATTTACTTGCATCACGGCAAGAGCATTCTCATCAACGTTTTCTGTGATCAACTAATGAAACACGAGAGCATAATCCAAACATTTAAGGAGAAGTTCGTTCTGTATGGCTGGGACATGACCTACGAGAGCAACAAGGACATGTGAGTTGAGATTAAAATGTTTATAGTTTATTTTATTGATTATCAATCAATGCCTTCACCAGGTTTCTCTCTTCGCTGACGGCCTGCATCAGCAGCAACGCGTCCCTGACGGCCAGGAACATCAAGCTGGACAAGCTGCCGGCAATCATGCTGGTGGGAAAGAGCCGGCAGTTGGGCAGCAACTGTGAGGTTCTATCTGTGATTCACGGTAGGTTTAAAAAAACTCCCATAAGTGTTTTCTTATATAACATTTTTTAATACTTTTCAGGGAACATTGGTCTGGATGATTTGCTGACGAGGCTCATAGAAACCTGCGAAATGTTCGAGGAGCAGCTGCAGGTGGAAATACGGCAGGAGGACGAACGAGCGGCCCGTGATCAGGTGAAGGCCGAGCAGGACATGGCCTACCAGGAAACCCTGGAAGCCGACATGGCCAAGGATGCAGCTAAACGCCAGAAGGAGGCCGCCCAGTTGGCCGAGCGCAAACGCATGGAGTCGGAGCGCGCAGAGGAAGACGCTAGACGCGAGTCCATTAGATTAGTTGTAAGTTACGATTGTTTTTGATAAGAGAACAACTTGTTTATTAGTATCCCTCCCCGCAGGCTCAACAATCCCTACCTCAGGAGCCGTCCGAGCAGGAGGCGGGCACTTCCAAGATCCGCGTTCGCAAACCCACTGGGGATTTCCTGGAGCGTCGCTTCTTTACAAACAACAACCTGCAGGTGGGTTCCCACTATTTAATACCATTTGAAATACCTTCTAAATCACCTCATCTATCAGGATCTGCTCAACTTTGTGACGGCCAACGGATTCCTCATCGAGGAGTACAAACTGATCAGCAGCTGGCCACGTCGCGATCTCACGGCCATCGAGAGTAGCCAAACACTGGCGACGCTCAAGCTCTATCCGCAGGAAACGGTCATCCTGGAGGAGCGATGATTCCTCTCGTTACTTTAAGGCAGTTTCGTTCGATTGGGTTTAGTTAACGCATTAATATTTGAGAAAATGTAGAGATACCTATAATTTACGTACTTTAATTAAGCGGCGCAAGCGAAAAGCATACACACCACAAACATACATACATATATTACCTATACCTATATCTAAAGATAATGATAATGTCTAGCTGCAGAGTTAAGAGAGTAAAGGTTTTATACAACTACATACTAAACATAGGAGATCCAATACAATCCGATCGAGCAGCACGCCCCAGCACCAGATACTACCGGTAAACATAGATATATGCATGTAGCGCAGCAGAAAGAAGGAAAAAAACAAAGAGCAGAGCAGCAAAGAAACAAAATACTGCATTTATGTTGGCTTGTTTTATTTTATTAATAATAAATTATATAACATGTACTGAACGCTCCGCCCCAGGTTACACTTGCTTCTAATTACACTTAACAACACATCGCTGGAGGGGAATGGGATCAGGGGAGGATTGGGTGTGGGGGGCAGGGCAGAGCCGTGGGCGGAAGGGGTTAAACAATGAGCACATAAAACTGATACGAGTATTGGGAGGGGACAGGTTAAAAGACATCCCAGGGCGCCTAGGACTTGCCCAGGTATTGTTCGATGGGTGCCAGCACCACTAGAAGGATCAGCACCACCACGAAGAGAACCAGCACCACGCCATAGACTCCCAGCAATCCCTTGCGCATGCTGCCGTACTGAAAAACGGGGAATCCATGTATTATAGAGAAATAGGAGATCACCTTGAGTAATACCCACCGGAGCATCCATTTTCCGCTCCATGCTCATGCCATTCCGCATGGCGTGCTGTTGATGATGCGACAGGTCGCCCATTTGGAAGGTATTCGCCCGCTGGCTCAGATGGCGTTCCGAGGCCATTCCCGTGATCTGCCAATGATTCAAACACAATCCGATCTAGACATTAAGGGACGTAGCCAATAGTTCTCGAGGGGATGATGGGTGACGGATGAATTAGTATCGAATGTATGAATATTTAGGGACACAACTAGAACCACTGTACAGGCAGGCGATGCAGGGTCTACTTATTGTACATTTCAGGGTCACATGAGAGGGGTAAGCCAACCCAGATTAAAAACCATATATGGGTTTACTTACGGAGAATATCAGGTGGACCAGCACGTGCACCACCACGAAGCTGACCAGGATCCAGTCCATCCACTCGGGCAGCTCGGCCTTGGGCAGTTTAACAGAGAAGAAGATGGTGACAACTGTGGGGCAAAGGTTGGTTAAATATCTTATGTAGTGACCTTTGACCCCCAGACTTACTTCCCAGGATGTGGGCCAGGTTACCGCCCAGCCAATGACCCCAGTTGAAGTACGGCCTCTTCTTATCATTCGGTCCCGGTCGGAACAGGGCTCCAATGGGCTGGATGAAGCACAGAATCACAGTGATCATACCAATGATGGAGTGGGCATGAAACACCGCCCGCTTCAGCTCCACCCAGATGAGCACGTAGGCAACCACCGTGAGCGACCAGGTGGTGACCATGAGCAGGCGATGCCAGGCGAACCACTGGTCCTTGCCGCAGCTCTGGCTGCCCACCCACGTCTGCTTGAAGTAGCGCGCAAAGATGATGCCCAGCGAGGTCGTGCCGATCCAGGCGGCGATCATGAAGGCTCCGTGGAGCTGCACCAGCAGTCTGCTGGATCCGCCTAGAACCTGCACCTCCGCCAAATTGATGGCCTGTGCCGAGGGCAGTCGTCCAATGTCGTGGTAGCCCACGCTGTTCTCCTTGAGGCTGCTGCCCGAGGCCACCAACAGGTGGTACCTGCCGTTGCGAAGGTCAAAGGTGCGTCCCTGCACATTGGTCACCGCATCCCTTTGCACCCGACAGTAGATTACTCCATCCACAATCGAGGCATCCAACAGGCGGGCAGAGTTCTGGCTCTGTAATAGGTACACATATTTATAATAAAGGTAGGATTAGGATCCAGTTACTCCAAGCTTACCACACTGGATCTCACAGCTGCGTAGGGAGAGGCCGAAGTCAGGGAGGAGTACAGATTGACCCTTCCATTCTCTGGCACGCACTCAGTGGTCAAGTCGTCACCCATCTTGGCGTCATCGGAAAGACCCACCGCCACATAAGCGGCATTGGTTCCTGGAAAATGAAACACATCACTCAGAAATATTGATAATAATAACGAAATAATTGAAGTTAAAAGGTTCTTATTTTGAGAATTTATCTTTTCACTTATTCGAGAAGAAACTTTCATGGAATTATAGCAAAAGTGTATATTTATGAAAAAGCAATCTTGAAGTTTTTAATGAAGAAAAAGCTTTAGTTAATGTTTTTTTTTTTTTTTGATCAAGAAGCCAAGATTAAATATTCTTATTTAAAAAATTCGTTTTATTTTTTTTGAGATGAGAACGTTCTTTAAAGCAAGGATAAAGTACGCCAGTTTGATTCTTTCAATGTCTTTTTACTTTTTCAAGAAGAACGGTTCTTGAAACGAAGACGAAAGCAATTATGTACGAATTTACGATCGTGATACAGAAATGAAAGTAATCTCGATTTAGCACTCTATTGAGATCAGTTTTTAATATGTTATTGTTTTTCTCAGTGACTAAGACCGTTTTTAAAAAGATAAGAAGAACTGATGACTCACCCTTGCCGGACTGAATCTCGAACTCGAAGACATCCCCCCTCACGGTGACCACAGAGATGGAGGTGCAGGTCTTGGAGGCCACGCATCCGTCTGGGAAACCAAAGCAGTTCTTGCTCTCTCCGCAACCATTGTAGATGGGATCGGAGACCACTGCGGCTACGTTGTTGGGTGTCACATAGCTGGGCGGGACATAGGGAGTTCGGGTGGTTCCCAGGGGGGCAGAAGGACCCTGGGTAGGCAGTGGTGGACCGGACACATCCCGACGGACTATCTGAACGGGCTGCGAGGGTACGCCCACCCAGAATTCATTGTAGCTCTGGGCAATCGTGGCGCTGTGGGGTATAAGATTCATGGTTGAGATCATTGAATCATCATTGAGAGACTACCTTGATGACTCACTTGAAGACCACCTGGCCAAGGAAGTCCACCGGCGACTGCCACTCCAGGAGCACCTGCTGCTTGGCCCCGGCATTGCTGTGGGTGGCCGAGTTGTTCACGGAGTTTTCACAGTTCATCAGCTTGATGGTGCCATCGCGGGCGGCTCCAAATTGTCCCACGATCTGATGGGGTGGATTACGGTTACGTGCCTGGATCATGTAACCGCCGAAGGTCAGACCAGCCGGCACTCCCGTGAGATCCACGCGGAGCGTCTGACCCTGACCAAGGGTGGAGGAGGAGGTCTCCACGCTGAAGGGGGAGACACTGTTCTGGGGGAGAATACTGCCGCCGGAGTGGAACGGCAGCATGGTGTCGCACACCGTTTCCGGAGCACCTTGTGGCAGACTCTGGCCGGGATTTGGCCAGGTGACCACCGCCAGCAGCAGCGCCATGACCACCGCCAGCCAACTCCGCTTCGTCAGCGGCTGCGTCATCGTCATCGGAATCGTGGAGCACCTGACGAGTAAACAAAGCCGGTTAGAGTTGGTCTTGGTATCGAATGGGAATTGAGTGATCAGAAGCGAAGCGTGTCCCGGCTTCCGTTGCCGATCCCCCTTTGGCTTCCTCCTGCCACCGAGACGAACTAACTATCTATAGAAACCCTCACCCTCGTCAGACGACAGATTCGTCATTTCCATCTTCTGTCGTCTGTTTAATTACCATGGCATAAATAATTGCTACCCCGCTTATCGGGGGCACGTTTCCAGCGAACCCGCAAACAATGAATTGCGAAGGTATCTGTGCATCTACATATCTGATAGCGATCAAAACGTCTATATGTGATGAATAGGTGGGTACTTCAAATACCCTGGGTGGTTCTATTAATTTAGTATATGGCACTTCCCGAGTAAATGTAGTTCATGTTTATAAGTAACTTTGTTTCTATAATAACTAAGTATGTATATCTAGATTTATCATATCGTCATTTCTTTGATATACGGAAAATGGCTAGTGAGGTAAAATTATTATTAACTCTTCTAATTCTACTAAACTAATAAATACACATTTAAATTATCATACAATTATTGGGAGTGCCAATAAGCAACATAAAGTGTTGAAGGTCAATTTAACTGAATAAAGCATACATATTCAACATTCAAGGTCCAAATAGTTTTAACATTTCAATTTCCTTAAGGTAATATTCCACTACCTTATAAATTAGTGCCTAGACTCCCGAAAACGTTGCCCTAAATCACGCTGCACTCATTTCATTACAAATATGCTCCCGATACAGGTCGAGATTGGGCCCCCAGATATGGCTATATATAGACCCATGCGGACGTATCGCTTAACACCGTTTAGCTTTCAGTTTGCTGGCCACTCAGTGCTTATCATTTTGGGAACATCATGGGTCGTCAGGCCTCGCTGCGTATGCGTATTATTCGTAATAACTGCAAATATATATAACGCATACGCCTATAAATCCAGCTAATGGCTAGTTAAACTAATTATCCGCTAGCGGGGCCATAAATTAACGTTTAACTAGAATTTCATTTAAGCAAATCGCTTTATTATTTTCCGTAGCACTCGTTTTGTTATGGGGATTTACGGGGTTATATAGGTGATAGTTTTCACTTGCCCCCGAATTCGTTTATACTCGCAGGTTAAGAAAACATTAACGAGGTCAGTTCCCTCGTGAGTCAGAAGATGACTTTTGCTTTCGACGCGATCAGCCAATCCAAGATTCAAGATCAAGATCAGTGGGGAAGTGAGTGGGCAGAATACATTATGTGCCTGGGACTTTCCCATGTGCGGTGGGAATTCAGACGACTGTGATTCATCGACAACCTCACGGGTCTCCAGTTTGTATCTCCAGTTTGTCTGGGTTTATACACTACATATATCCCTCTCCGTGTCAAGAATTCGAATTGAACTTGAATTTGAAAGCAGTTACGATTAACCTTGAGGGGTTTATAGCGTATGTGAGTTTTTTAATCCATTTGCCTTTCTTTGAAATGCCAGCAAAATGTTAATTAAAGCGCGGCTTGACTCATTGTTTAAATCTTATTTTGGCAGCTGTTTTTGGGACCTCCGGCTATTTGGTCTTTTAAGAACTGCACAATGGGTGTTCACAATTGCCAAGACCTTGAAAGTCAAACTTATTGATTGTGAGTGATTTATCTAAAAAGCATTCACCTAGACCTTCGCAAAGGTATCTGTAGGTATATCTATATCTATACCTCGGTGGTTACCTACACATGTATCTGGTAGTTCGCACTCCGTAGAAGGCAAGGTGAAAACCGAAAAATTTCACCGTCGTTAAATGCTTTCCATTAAATTCTTGGCACATTAATAAGTGTTTCGCGGCTTGCAGCCATATAGCCATTGGCCCACCATATAACCACGACTCTGAAACTTCAACTGGGGATAGGCTTTTGTTTCCGAACGTGAGACAATACTGATTAGCTTAGCGACTTTTCCACAACAACAATGCGCCATTATGTGGGACCGGCCCGAACACTTGACTCTAACATGGTTATTGTGGGGGGTATGTGTATTCCATATAGCGTATATAGCATGCGCACACATAGAGCTTGTCTCATGCCCTTGTTAAAAAGCCAGTTTTGAAACTCGTACAAAAAATAATCGCAATTTGAATGCTGTCGGTGTGGCTCTACACGAAATATCCACTCGCTACAATGTATATACGTATTTGACAGCCCAACTCTAATTGCTTCGATCAATGCGAAAGGTATGTAGATAGCAGCCCAGAGGTAAACGACTCGTTTAATTCGCTTTCCTGAGATCGCGATGGCTGTGTCGACCACTTGAGGTTGCTTGGAGCAGAGATTGCTGAATCACCCACTTCATAAATTGCGTAAAGTTCTCATAATGGGACAAGGCCTGTAAGTTGATAAGATGGCACTTGACTTTGGTTAGTCCTAGTTTATAGACCAATCAATCCAAGAAATAGGCCTGCTATATCTGCTTGTTTTTTTCGCTTTATCATCCACTAGGCTGGTTTCTTAGCCTCACTATTTCTGGGTAATTTTGTAGGACACGCCAACAACAATTGGCTTTTGACCCCGTCCAAAGAGTTCAAAGGGGCGGGCCTTTGGGGATGGGGTTTTGGTCAAGGTGGTCAAGCAATTTCCTTGCATTGCAACAATCTTAGCCGGATATCGCGTGCCATAGCCTGTGTAAACTGGGTTAACAACTAGCCCGTTGTGCGCAGTTCCAGGTATCCAAGTATAACGTCCTTCCACCAGGAAAGTAAACCATCCAGAGGAACCATCGACTGGGGTTGGTATTTAATTTCCCTGACGGTTCCATGCATACGAAAAAAAGATTGATCAACATTTGGCCAGTGGAACTGATTGACATGTGTCAAAGAGGGCTCCATATTTAATGTTTAATCTGGCGATAGATCGTTAGTTTTTGATTATCGTTCAGCCTGATAATATTAATGAATTAAAGTGATAGGGGTGTTTACATTTGGAATGAAACCACAAGAGATTATCTAAAATTACTCACACTATTATCATTAATGTTCAAATATATTAAAAACAAATATAACTTCATTATATATCACATAGGAACACCAGTTTAGTAAATCCATATGTATTTAATGTAATATTGGATTCAAAAGGGTTATACCATTTCATTTGATTAGAGAAATTACATAGAGTACTGTAATACGCCATTTTTCCCATCCCTTTAATATATTATGCAAAATGAAAATTGTTTTTAAATTCGAAATTCTAAAAATTACTTTAAAACAAGCTATCTTCAAGCAAAGTGCAAACAAATTGCCTGAGATCCGAACAGGTGTTCTCTGTTAAACCTCGTAGAATGCGTTAACTGTGCCACAGTTGTGAGGCCGAGAAAAAGGCCGTAACGACTGGAATATTGATTCGTGGTATGCACATAAAACCTCCATTAGATGACATCATATGAGGCATAGATCGAGGAAATCGTCGCAGTGGAGTGGGGCCAAAACAAAGACTGTACCAATTGTCGTCATTTATTATAAGTGTTGCAGCGAGGTGTGAGCAGGTTCACTCGTAGAAAGTGACTGTCAACGTTGATTTATCAGCCATCGAGTTGCGTAAGCCACTGAACTCGTGGCCGCGAGTGTGCCGATTCCTATAAAGGGACCAGGGCACGTCCCGAGATATAGATATTACCCTCGAATAAGTTCGCCTCTCGCTTTGTTTTCACTATTTTTCCGCCTCGACTTGTTTACATCATATCATCGGTAACTTTGCGCAGGCGCGACGCTTGACATCACTCACTACTTTATTATTTTTACTTCGCTGCTTAATTAATTAAGCACTGCCATTGTACTAGAAGACTTGCATTGCGTCTTGCCATTGAAATGTGTGTGCGAAAAAAAAATAAATCTATGCAAGTTTTGGATGAATGGTATGGTGGGTGAGGTACCGACGAGGGGGGGATCTGTGATCTCAGCATCATTAAAAATACTGAAACCGGTTTCACTGTACATGCGACACAGTTCAAGTGGATGGGATGGAAACAAAAACACAGCAGTAACTTTGGAATTTTTATGGACTGATTAGGGGATCAGTCTCTCAGGCTTAGATATTCCATTGACATTGCTTATAGCACCTGGATAACTTGGGACTAAAACTTAAGGCTGTGGCTCAGGTTGAACTTCACTTTTGGGGAGCTTGTTGCAGGTTGCTTGTATCGCATATTGCATGTGGCACTTATTGCCTCGTGGGCACACCTGCGCCCAGTAGAACTCCATTGCCATTCATTGCGAATAACTCAAAACCCGTTTGACAAAGCACGCACTAACCTAAAATCGCTGTCAACAATATTCGAAAATCACTCCGAGCTGCGTAGCTCTTTTTTCTCGTCGAATCAACCGCCTTTATTTAGCAAAACCGAACGCAATGAATTGCCGCCAACGACTGAAAAAGTCGGCGGAGAGCGCTGAAAAAGAGCTGAGAAAAATAACATACAACTGTTTCAGACTTGTATCGATAGTAAAGCCAACGCAGCGATGGTTCGAAACGCGAACTACCGAGCGTTTCAGGTCTGCCAGAGAAACAGGTTTTCCGAAATTTTGATACTGTTCGATAGAACTTAAAAAATGGCCTAAATGCTCTCTATCTTTTTATTCCATCACGTATTTTATGATAAAAGTTTTGGGTATAAGAAAGAATTCGACATGGGCCTTTAATCCAAAAATACATTCCTTTTATATTACATGTAAAAATAAAAAAGCGGAACCAAATATTTTCTAAAAACCTTTAAAGATTACCTCCGATAATCTACATGTTTCAATTAAAAGTCATTCATTAAATTACGAAAATTTTATATTTTTTATTAGTGAAAAATCTTTTTGTTGAAATTTATTTTTCTGGTTTCACCATGAAAACTATTTTAGGGGACCAACATTTTAAACAAATTACGGCTTTGAACATCTATCGAAGTGGCTTTAAGGAGCGGTTTTGTCTGGATGCTTGGAATCATTATCAATGCGTAAATTGCGAACAGAATATAATTTCTTTTTCAGCATTCGGGCTTGAATCTTATGTCTTCGGTTCTTGAGTTTCAGACGCTTGACCAATACCTTTTTGGGTCTGGTTACTCTAACTTTTGGTGTCCTTTTTACTTCTGGTGACCTTTGAACTTCTGGGGTCCTCTGAACTTCGGAAGTCTGCATAATCGCCTCAAGTTCCTGGGTAAGACTTCCCCAGTCGTAGAAATCTGTAGGATGTGAGCTTTCCGCATCAGTGAGCACTTTATGACAGGAACCTTCCGGTTGGACTGCCTTTGGCTTTGATTGTTTTCGATTAATGGGTGCCATGTTTCTCTGAGTTTCAGTTTCTTTTATTCTATTAATGTTTAGTTGTTATTATTCCGAAAATGTATGTTGTATCTGTCTGAGAGTTGTAGGATCTTTGAAATGAAAAATGACTTCGATCTACGGGGTTACTATATTAACTTAAAGGGTTAATTTTTTTTCAGTTTTACAATAAATGTCTAAACAAACCATTTTCTACCCAATTTCGAAATTTGAATTTAGCGCCTAGCTATTATATTATAGCTAAGTTATTAATTTTTTGTGTAAATTGTCCAGCACTGCAGCTGTATTTTTCGCCATCCCATGGACGGTCACATTATCGGCTGACAATTGGAAAATTGGAGAGAAAAAAATTGCAGGCGAATAATGTTCTTTAAGTTACTTATTTTCACGGCGCTCATTGCCCTGGTCAGCTGCGAAGTTGTCATTGGCCAGGATGAACTGGTGGACGAGGTCTCCGGCCTGTACACAATCGAGGGACGCGTCTCCCCGCCCGACTCCATTTTCCCACCCGCCCAAGGAGGACGAGGTGCTCCGGTGAACAAGGATGCCCCCAAGTGGCAGACCGAGGTCACCCTCTCCATTAACGACGGCGAGTTCAAGGGATTCGTCCGCGAGGATGGCCAGTTCATGATCAGCGGAGTGCCCTCCGGCAGCTACATCCTGGATGTCCACCACCCAGATGTGTTCTATGAGCCGGTGAGTGTATTAGATTCTTTGTAGAAAAGGTCAACCCTAACCCATTTAAACCCTATACCAGGTGCGCGTCGAGATCAATCCCAAGGGAAAGTTCCGCGCCCGCAAAGTGAACTTTGTCCAGCCGGCGCAAATCATGCAGGTGCCTTATCCACTGCGCGTGAAGCCACTGATGCCCTTCAAGTACTTCCAGACCAGGGAGCAGTGGAAGGTTAGTCTAGTCCTCAAATCTTGTGATTCTAAACCCAACTAAAACCAATTTCAACCCGCAGATCACCGACTTCCTGTTCAGTCCCATGGTCTTGATGATGGTGCTGCCCCTGCTTCTCATGCTGGTGCTGCCCAAGATGATCAACGATCCCGAGACCAAGAAGGAGATCGACAATCTGCAGTTCCCCAAGGTAAAAATCATGAATCTTGTATAGATATGCCTTATTATAAGGACCATTTCCTACTTCACAGATGGGCAACGACATGCCCGAGATCAGCGAAATGCTGACTTCCCTGCTGACGGGCAAACAGCCCGAACCCAAGGAGAAAAAGCCTGCTCCTGCTGTCAGGCAGACCAAGAAGCGCAAGGAGTAGTAGCTGGCCACCAGATTGCTTTTAGCCATAAGCCTGTTGAGAGCCATTGAGCTCAAAGTCAGAGTCATTTCGAGTAAATAGTAAATTTTCATTATAAGCCAAAGCCGCTTTATTTGAGAAATCCAACAATCTGCGGTCGCTTGGGACCGACGCGCTCCTGCTCTTGCTTGAGCATTTTGATGAGCAGCTTGTCCAGATGCTCGCCTATGGACAGGCCCAGCTGGAGGCAGTTGCGCATGGTGTCGCGGTGCATTGCACCACCGCCAGTTAAATGGGTGCCCGAAAGGTATGGCTCGCCATTGCGCATGGAAACGGAAACCACTACGCTTACTGTGCTGCAGACCTCCTCCTCCGCCGAAGGATCCACAAGGCTGTAGTCGCCGATCTTGCAAACGGTGACCAAAAGCGGAACAGTCTCAATGCCGATGCGGGTGCAGTCGTATGGGTTGTCGGATATGATAAGGTCTGTAATGCCGGCATCCAACAGCGTGGCCGTCACCCGGGGCAATTTGGTGTTGAACAGGGCTGCTTTGGCGGCCAAGGAAACGGCGTCATGCAGATTGCCGCCGCACTCCAGAATCTACAAGGGCAGGGATTGTAAAATAGGAAAACTTATGCGGAATATAGCCTCACCAAGATGTCTATGTAAAGCTTCCAGCACTGCTGACCCGGAATGAGGCACAAGGTGCGGTAGTCGAAGGCCAGTGGCGATTCGTAGGCGTTCTGCAGGGACAGCACCAGTTCCTGGGCCAGATCAGAGCCACCGCGTCCCTCAAACTCTGGCGTGGCATTGGCGGAACTAAATGACATCTAGTGGTTATCATACATTTGCTTAGATTCACTTTCTCCCTTACCAATCCACAAAGAACTCCAGTTTGCCAAATTCAGGCGTAAGGGGATTGGGCACATCGATCTCGGTTTTCACGCCCACCAGGATGTCTGTGTTGGCCAGGCGCAGGCGGGCGGAACCACTGGCATTGCTCACCAGTCCGGTTTCCAGCTCCATGGGACGGTAATCCCGGCGAGAACGTCCATCGCAGCGAAAGTCGTCCTGAAAAGGATGTTATTTCAACTACAAATAATACTGTCCAAATAGCTCACCTCCACGCCGTGTAGTATATAGGTTTTCTCAGCCTCGCTCAGTGCAACATAGGCCATCTTAAACTTACTTTAATTAATTAAATGCTTAAAACATATAATCAAAACAAATTTAACATGTGCAATGGCGATAGTTATTTATAAACCAGGGCTACTAGAAGTTCTTATTATCGATAGTTCGATTGCAGCATTTTCCAACACCAAAAGATTCCATGACTTGTAACACTGTCAAAAACAAGCCAGTCATTTCGTGCGGCTTTTCAACTCAATAAACAGCAACTGTAAATTGAATTGTGACAAATCTAAGGCTCAAAATGCTTCCCGACTTTGATTTCACCGACACGCCGGTCAGCACTGGCGTAAGTATGCAAAATGTAACCCATGAAGCTGCCTATTAAGAGCCCAATCCCCTCCTTCTTTGCAGACCACCATCATGGCCGTGGAATTCGACGGCGGAGTGGTCATTGGGGCCGATTCCCGCACTAGCTCGGGCGCCTATGTTGCCAACAGGGTCACCGACAAGCTGACCCGCATCACGGACAAGGTCTACTGCTGCCGCAGCGGCTCCGCCGCCGACACCCAGGCCATCGCGGACATTGTGGCCTACTCGCTGAACTATCACGAGAACCAGACCAACAAGGAAGCCCTGGTCTTCGAGGCCGCCTCCGAGTTCCGCAACTACTGCTACAGCTACCGCGAGTCTCTGCTCGCCGGCATCATTGTGGCTGGCTGGGATGCACAGCGCGGTGGACAGGTGTACAGCATCCCCTTGGGCGGCATGCTCACCCGCGAGTCCTGCACCATAGGCGGTTCCGGATCCAGCTTTATCTACGGATTCGTTAGGGAGCACTACCGCCCCAACATGCAGCTGGAGGAGTGCGTCGCGTTTGTCAAGAAGGGTGGGTGCAAAATCCATCGAGAAAATCAAATCATACTACCTTTAATTGCACAGATACTTATACTATTCCGATCTCTTCTCACAGCTGTCCAGCACGCCATTTACCACGACGGCAGCTCCGGCGGTGTGGTGCGCATTGGCATCATCACCAAGGATGGCATCGAGCGCCGCATCTTCTACAACACAGAATCGGGCGCATCCGCAGTCTCCAGCACTCCCAGCTTTGCCTCCTCAGCATAAATATTAAACGTACCCCAATAAGATCGATCGGCGGTGGAGTTGCAAACTCGCCTCATTCAAATAAACTTGGTTTTTGTAATACGAATACTTGGTTAATTTTTATTTTGGCTCTTATGGCAGTACAAAAAGTTAAGTCTCTACGGGCTAAATGGTAATAAATAATCGAAAACCTAAGCCTAAAATGCATAGTCATACAAATAGTGCTGTTCCTGACACTGGTCCTTGGTCACAACCCAGATAACTACTGCGGCGAGGCCAGATGCTTCCCTCCAGGAAGCCATTCTGCCGCCTATCACATGACAGTCAATACCAAACTTCCTCACTTAAAAATACTATCTAGACCAGTGACGACAGCTGTTTACGAATTGAGCTTGGTCACCTCTTCGGGTGCGTCCATAGATTGCGTCTCCATGGACTTGGTGGCACGTCGCTGCCTGCGGTGGCGGTAGAAGATCTCGGGCGTCCAAACCATAACCACCAGCAGCAGAATCGCTCCCTGAACGTACAGGCAGATGATGTAGGAGTCTGCGTAGTCTCGCACCCATCCAAGCAGCTGACCCACTGTGATAACAATAAGGCCCTTGGACATCATGCTCAGTCCCAGTCCGCCGGCTAGTTTGTCCGCGCGACAATGCGCCGATATGGTGAGATTGTTATTAATCACGGTGGCCGACTTCATCATGCCCGTTAGCACCGACATGGAGATGATTACCGGGAGCGATTGACTCTCGGCCAGCACACAACGGGCGACGAAGAGTCCAGCGATGCCGATCAGGAATACGACACGGTAGGGGATTCTCAGGTGATCCGTGATAATGGGCAGTAGCAGGCGACACACGATATCGGCTCCTGCCACCACGGACATGCAGAAGGCCACATACTGGCTGTTCAGTTTGGCTGTTTGTCCAAGAAAACCCGGGAAGATCATTGTGAAGTTAATGGTGGCCGTGTAGACTAGGGCCATGCCTACGATAATGCTCCAGAACACCAGATCCTTGAGCAGCTCCAGATCCATGGCCTGCACCACACGCTGTGCCATTCGGCTGCACAGAGTATCTGCTTTCGGTGGGCTAACCTCGCCCTTGCTTTGGTTTGAAGATACAATCACCACTTGCAGGGGACTAGATTGAGTCTTGTCGCCATCTCCCTCGGCCAGCAGTCGAATGTGTCTGCGGTTGTTGTGCTTGGCAGGCGGATTTAGGGGTTTCAAGAAGACGGCACCAATGAGCTGTAAAGTAATTGGGTCTATAAGCAATGGTTTCAGATGAACTAGTACTCCACACTTACTCCAATTAGCGATAGGCAGGACATGGCCAGGACTGCAGAGCGAAAGCCGTGGTTCTCCAGGAGGTAACGCACCAGATGAGGGATGAGCACCTGTCCCATGCCAGCACCTGCTAGTGACACACCCACAGCCCGTCCGCGCTTGCTGCTGAAGTAGGAATTAATGGCCATGAACGTGGAGGGCGAGATGAGGCCCAATCCAAAGCCCACGAACAAGCTGTAGCCCACAATGAAGTGCCAGCTCTGGGTGGCAAATGCGCAAAGAGTCAGGCCCAAGGAGACTAGGACACAGCCTGTGGCGGCCACATTCCTAGGCTTGAAGCTCTTGATGGCGGGTCCAATGAAGAGGCCGGAAAAGTTGAGGGCCAAACTGTTTAGATTGGTGATCAGGGCAGCCGTGAAGGTGTCTCCCTGCAGCTCGCCCACAAAGAGCTGGCCAAATACCGACAGAATGGATTGGTTGGTCATCTGAAAGAGGGCTTTTATAAGGATGTGTTTTAATATAGGGTTAGGTTGGCACTTACATTGATCAAAGCCACGGCGGCCACAACAACCCATCCATAGCCACCATCGGGGATAACGCGATTCGTCTGTCCATCCATATCCGTGCTCTCCGGGTTTCTTGACGAGATTAAGTCGGCTGTAAATAGGCAAGCACAGCAGAGATAAGATGGTTGTTAAAACGTCTGCTTTTGTTTATTGTGTCTAAACTCAGGTGAAGAAATGTGCGTCCCGATAAGCCAGCCAAATCGCACTTACACATCGCAGGCAAGGTGAACTGCTGCGGCTCGTCTCGGAGCTTTCGCCCAACTGCGTGGCCATTTCGTAAACAACGTATTAACAAATTAAGCCGAATTAAAGCTTAAATTAAAATAAATTACTCCCAAAGTCGCAGAAATTTGAGGAGTCAGTATGACCTTTGCGTGAATGCCAAAAAATGCGTATTTCCATAAAACTGCGCATTTATGCTGCACCTGATTTTAAACTTAATTGTTTGTGTTTTATTAAGATTTTTAATTAAACCATCTTTTATATGTCTTAACTTTACTCAGAGTGCTTAATAACTTTTGAAATGCTACTAAAAACAACAAGAGGAAATACCAGCAAGTATGGGATATTTAAACAACAAAATTATGGTCTCATTACTCGCGGCAAATTATCGATAACAGTTAGTTATGACAACAATCAGCTGTGCATTGCTCCGTGCTTACTTTTAATTATTTATAATTAATTCGAAACTATTTTATGCATTTACTGACTTAGTTTAAATGCAAATGACTTGTGTTCTGTGCGCTAAGACTGCTAATGATGCAATCTGCATATATAATTTGCCTCGGAAATATTCACAGAGGCTTGCGTTGCATCATTGAGAAACACTTTCGAATTCAGGTAAACAAAACTATACTTTTTGGGATTAATATTAACTAGGATTTCTCAATTTAAGATATCGGTCCTACGACTATGTGGGCGTCGCCTGCTAAGAGGATCTGCCGCCTTTCTTCGTCTATCTGAGTGTGGATGAAGCCCGCTGAAGCAAAAGGTTCCGGAGGAGACACCTCCACCAGAAGTGGGTGCCATAATTTACAAAGAACCCTTGGTGAAGAACGAGTAACCTATGAGCGTACCCGCTGCCGTGAAGCGCCTAAGAGGACTTACCCATATGTCGGTCTTAAAGGGTGCTAGCAAGGAATTGATGATGGTGCCTAAGCAAAGTAACCTCAACTATATTGAAATCGAGTTCCCTTTGGTAGTCTTATTAATTGACGATGTGCTTGAGGATTAGGAGGAGCAGGATTTCCTGCCCAACAACTGCATCGCTGGTAACGAAGAGATGGAAAAGGAGCCAGAGGACTTTGAAAAACCCCAGGCGAAGCCAACAAACAGCGGATAGTCTTGATTTTCCCCACCTCGTATACAATGCAGCAGCGTGACCGGCTGGTTCATTAGAATTTATATGCTGTGATGTCTGTGGACAATTGATCACAGGAAGCGAAGCCTTGACCAGGCTAATGGAGGAACACAAGGGAGTGCCGCAGACAGCTTTAAAGCGAGACCTGCACGATTTTAATCGTGCTCTCCCTGAAGATCTAGAACAGTCTGCAGGAGGACCTATGAGCGATAAGACCTTCATTGGACAAAATGAGCTGAGGGTAATCTTAACAAGATTATTAACCCCTTTTCTCAGCTATAAATAGAATCTCTTTGCAGAACACATGGCTACTCACAGGGGAAAGGTGTTCTACACTTCCATACCAACAGGCATGCTCTGCGAGGATTGGAAGGAGAACCGCCACCAGCGGATGAATCACTCTCGAAAATCATACACAATCATTACCGTAACACCCGGCAGGATTATGGAATCGGAGGGGGTGAAATGATAACAATACCCATTAGCCCTGTAGCACGAGCTAGCCCTAGGTGACCCTTTGACCCAATAAAATATAAACGAGACACGGCTGTTGTTATGATCGGAGCGACGCGCGGGGTAAACAATTTGTAAGATCTTTAATTGAAAACCCTGATTCGATGGGATCAACCGGCTGAAACCAGTTTGTCCATCTGCACCCTGATCATCTCGAACTGGTATAACGGACATCGGAGCCGGCGTTATCAGTGATTAAGGTCGAATATGGTAATTTATATAGACGCATATAGCACATGGTTCAGTTTGAATACTCTTGTTTTGACGACGACCAGCCGCGATGCCAGGCTCAGGCGGACGGAAAAACCGGTTCGAGTCGGTTTCGAAAAAGTGGATTTGCTCCTTATCAGGGAATTGGCATTATCATGCTAAGTTCAAAGGTACCATCGATCGTGTGTGTACACATTGTAGTCTTCTGAGGAATCCTCAATCTGTGCCATAGAAATGACTAGACAAGTTCTGTTGGTTTGTTTTTCGATCTGTGGTAAAGTCTTATTTACCAATGGAATATTTTGCGAGCCCCATGATCCCTGACCTCTTTTGTACCTCCCCTATGTCGATTGTGGTTCCCAGGTTTAAGTGATTCCCAGGACTATATTCTTCTGTTCACTCTTTTTATGGGGAGCTTATAGTTGTAATCTTGAAGTAATATAATCGCCAGACTAAACGAAAGCTATTATGACTGATTCCCTGCCTGATTTTGGTTTTGTAATAGAATACTGTAACAGCCTTACTCGCAATTGTTGGTTGCACAACTAATTAATACAGGAATAAATAGCAATTGAATAAATCCCAATGAGTTAACAGTTAAGCGTGATGATCACATAAGGGTTTAATTTAAGTTTTATTAACTTTAGTTCCTTACTAATATATTAATTGTGTTTTGAGTTCCTATTTCGCAATTTCTTCGTTTCCCAAATTTTATTTAGAATCTTAAGCAAACAATATGATCAAAATTGACACTTACTGGTTGTAATTAGGTAGTTTAAATATTGAGAGTCACTGGAGCCAAATTTGTTTACTTTTCAAGACTTTGTTTGCTTAATTTCACACTATCACTTTGCCGCTGTGGCTTTTCTAGGTTTTGATGCTTATCGCTCGACGAGCAAATATTGTTTGAATAGAATGCCAGTCCCGCTGCCTTTATACTCTTGAATGGGACCTGAGACCAATGCAAAACAGGCTATTTCCTGTTTATATGGCGAGATTTAATTTCGCAACTCAGTTGGCGCCACGGAATCGATTACTATCGATTGTTAATTGGCTACGATTACAAATGTGTTTATATTTAAAAAGGGTTTTTTGGTTATAGCATTTAATTGAATTGAATTTTCTAAAACAATACAAACAACAATTGTGACACCCGATAGTTTAGTGAAATTTTATCCTTCAGAAGGTGAAGGGTGATAGGAGGGTACCAAAATTAATTTCTTCATTATTGTAAATCATTTTTATAACCTAAATTAGAAAAGCTATTTTGCCAACAATCCTAACCCCCTTAAAAAGCGTTTTACAGCGCCACTGCCTGCACCCACCTCGCTCAGCCGCTGTATTTGACTCTTTCTCTGCCTCTGTTGATACTCCACCTTCTCTAGGCATCTGTAGAAGAAGCTTTCTTAACGCCCTTAGTCGGCGAAAGTGAAGACGCACCTGTATGAGTGACTGGAGTGCTTTCTACATTTTTAAGTTGCTTCATGCTCCATAATGACCAGGGGGACTTTGACTTTTATGTAGACATATTAATATCCCTGAAACTGATCGGCGGATTTCGAAATCGCAAATACGACTCCATAAGTAAATTACTTTTTCTGCAGCTGGACTTTGAAGGGTATGGGGATGTTCAGACTGCCACTTCCTGGTTGTGGGATCTGATACCTGGCATACGGCAAGGCAAAACACCACCATCTGTCAGATAGCCACTTGTAGAGCTTACGACGAACACTTCGATTGGTAGGAAAAGCTGGAAGAGGATCTACTCTAGGAGGAGCTCGTCAGCGTGATCCAATGGTGAGCCACTTGGCCAACCTTTATAGCCAAGGTAGGGCTAAAACTGCTCCAAGGTAGGGTCACTCAATGGGTATGGAAAAATTAAATCCCATTGGAGGTCTCCTTTTGCTATGTAGCGTCAGGGATATGAATGACACCTGACATCTCATCCTTTTGAAAAGTTCAGCCACAGCTTCCATCGCCTCCCTCTGGAATGGTACTGAAGATGGTTTATTTCGTTAGAATAGAAGACATTAGAATACTCAGAATCATCTTCGGTCAGATGGGGGCAACTTTGCTAGGACATCTCAAGCCACAAAAACCACAATTTTCCATAAAGAATTTCTTGTTTTGGGATTGTTTACCTTTTTGCGCTAGAGATGGCAGGTGTTTTAGTGTTGTGGAACGTCGACAGTTATCGATATATATGCTGCGAACTGTGGCATTGGGGGTATTCTTCCTTTAAAGAAGCTGAACAAGCTGCTCTGCCAAAGAAAATAATTGCAATTATTGCAGAATATAACAACTTTAAGCCCAGTTTCGTGTCATGTTGATATTACCAACATTCCAATTAGTTTTTAATAAAAGTCTGATATCGATAGGCCGCATCAGGTACATCCGATACTCAATCGATCTGGCAACGCCGTGCGGTACGTGGCTTCGGGACACGGAAAACAATTTTACAAGAAAAGCTAAACAAATTATGTACAATTCGCTTTAAAAACCATAAGACATAGAGGCAGACATCCGGCGGACAGGAGGAGCACAAAAGGCTATATGAACTGTAAGTGGCCAGGCGAACATCCTCGTTTGTTTTCCCTCGTTCCCCAGTGTCCTTTCACTTTTAATTGCTCAAGTTCAACATGCAACTACAATGGGCAATTCAGCTGATTTACTGTTTATATGGTTACTCAATGGCCACTACTAAACTTTCCCTCACCTCCCGCCGCTCCAGCAAAACCAGAAAATTGGCGCATAATATGCAAATTTTGTGTTTGTTTTGGTTTGCCAAAATACAAATATGTATGTATGTTTGTACGCAAGTACATGGTACATATGCTTGGCACACACATATAAACAGATTACCTGCGCTCTTTGTTTGCCGCCTATAAATAAACGGCGAAAAATGCGTACTAACTAATGCCATTTGTTGCTATTTATCTGCGCTTTGTGTACGTCAACAAAGCGTTATTATATAAACAAATACAAATCGGCCATCAGCTGTTCTTAACCCACGATGGACCTGTTTGTTGTGGCTTCGGGTCTTTCATAGAGATTATGAATAAACTTGGGGATTCAGAGACGCAGCTCTTAACTTTCTTGGAAATGGATTATACTACTGCTGTTTTATTATTATAAACAAGTATAAGTTAATATCAATACATTTTAATGCCAAAATTAACTGGAAGAATGGGCTTATCAAAAATGTGCATACATATATTTCTTAGTAATAATTTATTACCCCTGATAATAGTCATTTCACTTGTAAACGAAATGTGGGAATTCCTTACACTCTCTTTTTGAGCTCTCTTCTGTTATCTTTTAAGCCTCTCTTTGGAGTGCACAATATTATGCTAATATTGCATCATGCATAGATTCTACTTTCCTTATTTGTTCATCCTTAAAAACACAACATTTTTAAAAAACCTGTGAACAAAATAGGCAAAAATTCCATCTATGTAGAGCTTAATAGAACAAACGATAGCAGTAACTTCGCTTTCTAACAAAATGTTTGAAGAATGCGGGGATTTCCCCGGGGAACTCTCTTCCTGCTCTCTCTTCTTTCACCACTCTCTTTGGAGAACCCAAGTAGAACGAATATTGCATCATGCGAAGCTTCGGATTTCATCATCCACATGGTCTGCTATAAAAGCGGCGTCGCTGTCTTCTTCGATTTTATTTCACCATCGCAATGCAAGCAGCAAACACAAGGCATAAGACAAAAGAACAACTCAGCCAAATGGGCGTGGGATAGGTGGGGATTGCCTCCGGTTTCCAAACAACACCACCTCCTAACCGGATGCACTTCCTCTCTGATCGTTGCAGAACTCATCAAACACCAAGCATCACCATCAACCTGCACACTCACACACAGATTCCAATGATTCCAAGGATACAGTGAGACGACCGATAATCACCAGCACTATGAATAACGTACAGAGCGCCCCAAATGGCGGGGCAGGGGGCGTGGCCGTGGGAGTGGGCGTGGGCATCAAGACGGCACGGAGCAACATCTTCAACGTGGATGGCCTGCCACAGCAGATGGCCGCCATGAGCGTGGACTACTCCAGCATTAGGGGAAAGGATGTCCTGGTCCAGCCCACCGACGAGCAGATGGAGCTGCTGCAGAAGAGGCTCCAGGACCGCATAGCCGACAACTGTGGGGAGACCATCTACGAGATTGGCGTGGGCGAGGGTGAGTTCTTCCCAAAGATGACTGGGTGTTTCCAGAAACACCATTCCTAATAGTGATTCATACATTTGGATTTCGTAATTTGCGAAATTGAATACATTTTATTTGAAAAGAATTAATAACCAGCCAATGGTTCAACCAGAATTGATTTGTTATAAACCTTCACCGAAATCTGTACTAATTTATGCTCATTTATTTTCATAATAGATGGCAGCGACAACGGCCTGAATCCGGAGCAGTTTGAGGCCTCCGTGGCCACGCTACATCTTCTGGCGGCCAATATAGATGCGGATGTGGTAAAGCTGCGTGAGCGGCGGGCAGAGAAGGGCCAATCGGCGCAGTTCCTCATCCGAAAGCATATCGAGACGACCGACTTTATGGAGATAAGGTGAGTTAAAATGATAATATTCCTAAAGAGGTGATCTAACCGTTTTCCCATTCACCAGGGTGGCCGTTGTGGGCAATGTGGATGCTGGCAAATCCACGCTGCTAGGCGTTCTCACCCACGGGGAGTTGGACAATGGTAGGGGCCATGCCCGGCAGCGACTGTTCCGTCACAAGCACGAAATCGAGAGTGGGCGCACCAGCTCCGTGGGCAACGACATTCTCGGTTTCGATGGAGTGGGCAATGTGGTTAACAAGCCGGACCATGGCCACCTGGATTGGGTTAAGATCTGCGAGAACTCGGCCAAGGTGATCACCTTCATTGATCTGGCGGGACACGAGCGTTACCTGAAAACTACGGTCTTCGGGATGACAGGACATGCTCCCGACTTTGGCATGCTGATGGTGAGTGATTCCCTTCAATAACCTTATCGGGAATTAACTCCGAATGTCTTCTTCCCAGATTGGCGCCAATGCTGGCATCATCGGCATGACCAAGGAGCATCTGGGTCTGGCTCTAGCCCTTGCCGTGCCCGTCTTTGTGGTGGTCACCAAGATTGACATGTGCCCGGCCAATGTCCTGCAGGAGAACATGAAGCTGCTGTTTAAGATGCTCAAATCGCAGGGCTGCCGAAAGGTGCCGGTAGTAGTGCGCTCGCACGACGATGTTGTTCTAAGCGCCACGAATTTCGTTAGCGAGCGTTTGTGCCCCATCTTCCAGGTGTCGAATGTGACCGGTGATAATCTGGAGCTGCTCAAGATGTTCCTTAACCTGTTAAGCACGCGCATGGCGGGCTCCGAGAGTCTGCCTGCCGAGTTTCAGATAGACGATGTATATTCGGTGCCGGGTGTTGGCACTGTGGTCTCCGGCACTTGTCTCCAGGGCACCATCCGGCTAAACGACGGCCTGATGCTGGGTCCAGACGCAGTGGGTGGATTTGTGCCAATCACCATCAAGAGCATCCATCGCAAGCGGATGAACGTGGCACGCGTGCGCTGTGGCCAAACAGCAAGCTTTGCGCTAAAGAAAATCAAGCGAGCCTATCTGCGCAAGGGCATGGTGATGGTTTCGCAAGATCTCAAGCCGCAGGCCTGTTGGGAGTTCGAGGGTGAGATCCTAGTGTTGCATCACCCCACGACGATATCGGCACGCTACCAGGCAATGGTGCACTGCGGCAGCATCCGCCAGACGGCCTCCATTATACACATGTCGCGGGATTGCCTACGAACGGGCGACAAGGCACATGTGAAGTTCCGGTTTATCAAGCAACCGGAGTACATACGCGCCGGTCAGCGGCTGGTCTTCCGCGAGGGGCGCACCAAGGCTGTGGGCAACATCCTGCGCCCGCTGCCGAATGCCGCCGCCTCTCCTTACCGCCCCAAGCCCGCTAAGATGCAGTCACGTTCCCAGAACGGCGGCAGCAATGGCAGCAACAACCAGCACCGCCAGCAGGGCCAGGGCAGCTCCTCAGGAGCGGGATGTAGCAAGGATGCCGGAGACGAGAAGCAGAACGGCGACAAGCGCGAGGGCGGCAGTCGGCGGGGCGGCAAGCGGAAACGAAATAATCGGCCAACTCCGTCTGGCGGTGGAGCAGGCCAATCGAACGGCTCGGCCGCTCTGGGTCTGCCGCTCGGCGAGATCTCTTCGCCGTCCTCCGCTGAAGTTGGGTCGGCGGGTCTCACAGAGTGAATTTTGTTCTTTCTAGTTTTGTAAGCTAAAGTATTTTAGAAATCTATTTTCTTACTCTCCAGTCCGGACTTCTGATCTGAAGGGGCGTTTGCCTCAATAAACTGTTCCGTGTCCCCTTCTCGTCCATTGTACACTGTGCGAAATGCCAAACCGAATTCGATATTCTTTTTGTTCTCTAGACTTAAGACTAAAAATGTCACAGCAACATGAATTTTATTTTAGTTGTCTTTTCACTAAATAAACGTGGATTTATCGACCCTTAATATGTTCTTATTTTCTATCATACTTTTAACTAAAACTGGTATTCCAAGGCCACATCTAATTTTCTATCTTTAAAAACTGAAGTGACCAGTTAGGGCCAAAAATTTCAATGTACATTTAAATTGATTTAAAATATTCATCGGCACGAAAAATAAAATGATTACTTATAAAGTTAAAGCGTTGTGAATGCATACATTTCGGTTATTTTTTGATTCTGTCTAACAAATGTTTCAGAACGACAATCTGAATTCCTCTTCTTTTGTTAACTAGATTTAAGATCACTTGTGCGGAAAATGAATAATGACCTATCTAGTTTCTCAATCAATTTAATAAAAGCAATTTTCTTGACTACAAAGTTGTTGTTTAATTTACCTTTTCAAGGAAGTTGGTGTGACATTTTATGCTATTCGACGAGTCTCCCTTGAGGAATCTTAAAACCCGGTCACCATTCAGACTTGTCGAATCCATCTCCCTGGACGTGGACATCGCCGCCGCCACCAAATAAGTTCTTGCGTAAGGAACTTAATGTTCTGACTTTAATGTTTATTCATGTGTGTTTACTAAAGTTGACTAAAATTTATCTTGCCGCGTATATACAATTGCTGTAGTTGACCAAGTTACTAACTGATTTCTAGTTCTTTTTCTTGTTGCTAAGCTCCTTCTTGACTCCCTCCAGTTCTTGCCGCACATTGTTCTTGAACATGTTGACGAAGGACCTGCAATTTGACAAGAATTCGTTAGCTCAATAATCTTGTTGATACATTTGGACACCCACTTAAAGCGCTCTGGCGTCATCTCGTGCAGTCCCTGCTCCCTGGCCAAGCTCTTGGTGCGGTACATGAGGGAAACGACCATCTGGGCAGCCCGTCTCATGGGGTAGCTATCCGCCATGCGCTGGATGAGTTGCTCGTTGTTGGCCAGGTAGCGCATCAGCAGTCGCAGCACCATCTTGCCGGGTTCTCTGGCTCCTTGATCCTGCCTAGAACTCTGTGTCCTTGTACTTGCGTATCAGCTGCTGCTTGAGCTTAAGCTGATTTCGCAGTAGCTCCAATCGCTGTTGCTGCTCCTCCTTGTTAAAATCGATCCCGGGTAGCTGGCGGATCTGCTCGCGGGCGGACTCGAAGCGTTTCTGCAGCTCAAAGATCTGCAAGGGAAGTGATAGATTAAATCCTTGGGAGCTCTGTGGATCTAGGGACCCACCTTGTGATTGCAGTCCTGGGACTCGCGCAGCTTCACGGCGTTCTCGAGAGGATCCTTTTCCACGCTGAAAAGCACAAAGACACCTGGTTATATAAGGTCGCGTTTTGAGTGCGCACTTGCTGACGCGGTGTGGCTATTTTTTGATTTCTCGGCATTATCCGGACAAGTTCAATAGCCCCAAAATCCGTTTTGCCAACCCACCAGCGCACAATGTCGTAGATTATCGGAAGAATCTCGATGTCCAACTGGTCCACGGTCAACTGGCCCCCGATTCCGTTGGATGTCTGGGTCTCCTGCGATATGGTGGGCTCGAAGGGGGAGTTGGAAGTCTGTACCAGGCCGTCGGCGGTTAGGATGGGTTTTCTGTCCTCGATCTGGTTGTTTGGCGACAAATCCATCATAAAAAACCCAAATCGAACTTCCAGCGTGAGAAACAGTATGACCTTACCGTGAATGCTTAATAATACCAAATATACCTTTTCCCGACTCTTTACTAGCTATCTAGCTATTTTGCAGCTCCCTGATTTACATGATTTTTACATGTAACGGAAAATTTGAGATGAATACCCTTCATGAATATTTTTTCCCGCCTAAGTTTATGAATCTTCCCAGTTTAGGTATATAAAGAATATGATTTGTTCCTGTGGCTTTTCTTTATATTATTTGATTTTGGAATAGGTTCGCAATAAAAACTTGACCTTGGACTAGTAAATAATAATGGATTTACGGCTCCATTAGGCACAAAATAAAAACGAGAAATATAACTTGGTATTTTTTTAAATTAGTAATGTTATTTATAAAGACATTAAACGTTATTGCTACTGAAATTTTGTTACAGGACATAGGATATAGTGAAAAGTGGGTTAGGTGTTTAAACACATTCACAAACAATTTAATAACTAACAATACAACGCCCACTAAAAGTCCTTTTAAGACTTTTCGGGCGGCCGTTGGAGGGGCGACTTGGGCGGGGGCGTGGCCGACTTGCTGCAGGACACGAACTCCTTGCTGGGCTGCACACAGCTGTTCTCGCGATCGTAGATGCCCAGGAAGGTGCGGCAGTTGGAGCAGTAGAGGTACTCCTACATTTATAGCATTATAATTATTACTATCATATTAAATTCCTAACTATCTTGTTACCTTGTTGTCCGAGGACATCAGGCAGGGCAGGAAGCACAGGGGCCAGCAGGAGACCACCCAGGCGGCGCAGCATCCGTTGTCCACAATCTCCGAGGCGGCCTTGATCAGCGGACGCTTGCTGCAGGCGCAGCAGGGGCAGAAGATGCGACCCTCCGCCGGAGCCCAGCGCTCGATGGAGGCCCGATAGCAGCTCCTTCGGTGGGACGTAGCCTTGTCCACAGGACGTGGACATGGACACGGGCAGCTGGGCTTCTCCGACTTCGAGGAGGCTCTACTGCAGGCCACCGGCTCTCCAGCCTCGGATCCACCACTTCGGGTGGAACTTTTCTTCTTGGCTATGTCTGTCCATTAGAAATATTCAAATTTCTGAAGTTCCAAACACTCCATAGGTAGTGCCACTTACATTTTTCGGCCTCCTCGGCCATCTGTGACTCCGAGAGACCCGTCATCTTGCTGATCTTCGAGAGGCGTTCTTCGCTGATGCCATGATCCGCGGCCAGCTTGTGCAGATTCTTGATCTTATCGCTGGTCACCGCATAGATCTCCGGGTGATCCTTCTCGATGTGGCGCACCAGTTCGCTGGTATCGTAGCGGGAGCAGCGGATCACTTTCATGCAGTGCAGACATCGCAGGGACTGCATGTCACAAGGTTGTTGACTTGCCTGGGACATGGTTTTGCTAACTATTTAATTCTAGGGTTTTTTACTAAAGGGAATACAATATAACACCTTTGACGTCGACTGAAAGTCGTTTAATCACAGCCGCCTTAGGGAAATATGAATAATAGGATAGAAAAAAAGTTTTGTTGGTCAAATTGACCAATGCGGATAAATTTGTAACTATAAAGATAGTACTTTAATGCTTGAAGAACTATTAAACAGTATAACGACCATGAGTGTGCAAAAGTATGCAACAATAACTTTTCAATTTTTTTCCAATGTTGTTAAAAAAGTAATACTTTACCTAACGTAACTATGCATTGTGGAACATACTTAATTTTCTTTATACTTTATACCAAGTTAGACATACTTGATAAGAACGAATGTGTGTTTTCAGATTATGATGTTGATTGAATAGAACGTGAATAATTGTAAAACTTCAAACAACTTTTTTAACAAAGGTTTTTTATTTATAATGAAACTTCTAATTAAACATTGTAATAACAATAATAATAAAAAACTTGAAAATACATAATATGACATATTATAATCAATGACTTGCACTTAATAAATTTTCCTGCAGAAATCTGTGAAAGGAAACTGTTCTGTCACTCTTTTCCCATAAGCTGAAAACCAACATCATCAGCCGCACACATTAGGATTTATTTTATGCAGATGTGTGAATTGAAAACCCTCGACATCAATCAGCTTAGGATGTATAAGAACGCCTGCCTTTAATAAAGCAGGGACTGGCAGGTACCGCAGTGTTATTGTGTTACACATGGGCGGCGTGGGGTTTTCGAAAACCCCACTCGGGGACTTATCGACTTAATCCAATCGCCTTCGAGCACCCTGTATCCATAATGCTCTTTGGCTGCGTCAACATTTTATTGTCAGTCATTCTCCAACGCCCCGCGGCCTCTTCACCACAATCGGTTCCGTTCACGTGCCACGCCCCCCTAACACCCAACGCCCAAGTGATTTTCAAGAGGCCCAACTTCCCCCCAATTTTTTTTAAGACTTTGAGTGTGTTTTTCAACATTTTGTCAAAATTGATTTTTTACTGCACTTACGGCATGATGCGACCGTTTTGGGGTTCCACATGGCTCCACATGGTTCCGTGGGGCTAATACACAGAGAGAAAATGATATTGTGGAGAACTTGATAATATATTTTAAGTGGGATGTATTGAACCCAGTGGTTATTATCTGTTTTTGAAATATTATTTATTTTGTGTATGCCTATGGGTATTATATATTCGCTCCGGTGTTGAAGAAACGAGTTTTCATTTGGTTGATGCTCTGTAAATATTAAGATATACACTTTAAAACCTTCGCATTAAACTTAAAACTTTGGAACCAAAAGTGATGAAAACTTTAAGCCACTATTTTAGAAGCGATTATATAAAACATTTGCTTGAATATTAGCTTTTTTGGTATTTTGGCAATACCATTAATTATAAATCAATGTACTAATACTTTGTAATACTTTTAGTACCTCTAGTAATATGAACTCAACATATATATAACAAATAAAATAAAAATAACAAGTCTTTCTTACCCAATATTGAAGATCTGTTAGGAACTCATAAACCTTCTACACAATTAAAGGTCTTATAAATAAGATTTAATATAAAACATTTCAAAATCATACTATTATTTTACTTACTTCTCTGTGTATAGTCCCCCTTCCGGGCGTGTAAGACTCCCACTACCCCATTTTACCTTTTTAGCTGTGGCATTGGTATTGCTCATACGCCGCGTTGTACGCACAAAGAAAGTCGCACCTAAAAAGCCAACGCGTGTCGCTGTCATTTTCCTCAATGCGTCTGCATTTATTGACTTTTTTGTTGCTGCTTTCTCCGTTTTCCTCCCCTTTCACCATTATATATATTTTTTCTGTACTTTTTTGTCTACGCCCTCGAAGATGTCATTAGAGCCAGTAAAGCGAGTCCTGGAACAGAATCCTTTGGAGTGAACGCTGTGGGCGATTTGCATTTACCCGCCGGGTGAAAAACACTTGCGCCGGATACGTTTTCGCTGACATAAGTGCTGCGTGTAATTTTACTCGATTCTCGTTTATTCTGTAGCTTTAGCCGTACTTACACATAGACAATACATCGTACACTCAATGTCTAGGACTAATATAAAAATACATTTCATTTGTTTACCATTTTGTTTCTTGACTTTGTTTGTTTTTGCATTTTGGTTTGGAAGCTTTGGAAGCTTGGTTGTTAACATTTGCTTTCTTTGAATTCGATTTGTGTGCACCGCACCACACCACACCCATTCATACCCCCCATAAGTAATTCAGCAAAGTCCCGCGGTTCTTGGTTCTTTTTATACCCGTTACCCTTAAAAGGTTATACTGGATCATAATTATATTTTGTTCTGATTATCAATACCCATCTACATGCCAAAAATTCTTCAAATCGGACCATTAACTTAAAAGTTATAAGCGAACAAAGTGTGCAATCTCGGAAACAGCCGATTTGCTGCATGCATATCTCCATCTCCCTCGCACTCCCTTTAGCTGAGTAACGGGTATCTCATAGTCGAGGCTGTCGACTATAGCCTTCTTCCTTGTTCTTTATAAGTATAGTATGTATCTGTATCTGATCGGTTTGATTTGATTTTGGTGCAATTAATCCGGGGATCGTTCGGTGTGTGTGTAAAATCATCCTAGCCTAGACGAACATTTGCTGTTCACGTGTAAAATTGGACTATGCTTAAATTATGTACACTGGATCGTAGTGGGTTAACTAGATGGGTCTCTGCTGCCTCTTAACCCAGCTCTACACACGCACACACTTTGAGGCACATTCAGTTTTGAATCATTTTACAAATTTATAAAGTTTGCAACAAACAGCTCTTCAGCACCCCCTGACCTCTGCCCCCCTATTTTCCTCTACGAACTAATTGTAAAAATTAAAAATTGATTTACCCACTTTGCAGCCCAAAATAACAGTTGGCTGCGGGCCAAAGGGGTTATCTCCCCGCGCAGAGAACTCCTGCAAGTTTAATGCATTTATCACTATTTTCCGGCCTTGGTTCCGTGGAGATATGAGGGTTGGGGGGGTTGGGTTGGATGGGTCTTTTCCAGCGGGTTTTCCGGGGACTTAGAGCGTGTTCTGCTTGGCAGCATCGCCGCTTTTGGCAGTCGCGTCGGGTCGCGAACGTGGGCGCCGCTTGGGCTGCAGCGAATAGAGGCGTCCGCTGCGAGCCCGCGTTTGTGGCTCACACTCCAGGCGCCACGTGCCAGGGCCGCCGCTGAAAGGGGGTTCAAGGAAAGGGGGTTCTGGTATTACATATCCTTTCCGGGGCACGCCCTGCCAGGATACTCACTTCATCTCCAGCTTGGCCAGGCGCTGCTTGATCTTGGCCTGGCTGGCCGTGTACTCCGCCAAAAGACGGGCCAGCCGCATGTTGAGGTTCTCCACCGAGAGCTCCAGCTTCTCAATGCCGCCCTCGATGCTATCGTGAACCCTTTGGGAATCTGGAAGTGGTATCAGATATCGTTCATTTATTATATAGCAATTCTTGGCTTTCAAAATGTATTCCTTAAAAATAAACCATTTAAACGGTACTTGTACTTATACGATTTCAAAATGTACTATACTTCCATTACTTAAATTGTTTTTATAAAATGAATATGAAATTAAGATATGAAAGGTACTGTTACTTATACACATATTAATAGATGTTTTCAAATAAACAATTATTTAAAATGTAACTAAAAGTTAGTTGATGTACAATTTTAAAAGAATAAACAAATCATAATTCATTAAGAGTTGACAGATTTATATTTATTCAAATGTATAATGTGGTTGAACTGAATTTTAATTCAAGAGAGGTTATTCATTAATGGCAATAAATAATGAGCAAAAATAAAAGGCATGAATTAATGGCAGCCAAATGAATACTGGTTCACATGTCGTATACGTAATGCCTAATTATTACATTTCCATGAATAACATGAATAACTCACCGGCGAATATCTGCTCATCCAACAGCCCATCCTTGCGCAGCAGCTGGCATCCTCGCTGGGTGAGCGTGGACCTGGCCTCGGGATAATCGGACAGGGTCTCCCACAGATCCCTCTTCGCCAGGCAGAAGAGATCCGAGTAGCCCAGGGATCTCACATTGGCCGTTCGCCGGTTGCCCGTCCGATTGCCGGCGATTTCCAGCACGGACACCTCGCCGAACACAGATCCTGCTCCCAAGGTGGCCAGGACGGTGATGCCATCATCTCCGACCACGGAGAGCTTGCCCCGCTTCACGATATACATCTCCTTGCCGACATCGCCCTTCCGGCAGATGTAGTCCCCAGGACTGAAGACCTGCAGCTTGAGCTTGAGGACCAGGGCCTCCAGGAGACCCGGCTCCGTGTCGTGGAAGATCCGCACCTGCTTCAGCGTGTCCATGTGCACCTGGATGGCTATCTCCGCCTTCAGCTTGTCCGGCAGGGCGGCCAGCACCCGCTCCTCGTCCAGCGCTCCACTCTGCGACCAGGTGTAGGCGAACCACCGGATCACCCGGGCCTCCAGCTCGTGACCAACCCGCCGGAAGGCCATATACTGCTTGACCCCATCCATGCGATTCTGGAACTCCACGCGGGCCACATTCATGTTGGAGATCATGGAGCCAATGTTACCTGGGGATGGGGGAAATCGGAGGAAACTTAGTTAATGAACGGGTGGCAATTCATCTTGGCCATTTCATAACCGGTTCGCCCACCCACTCCCACTCCCGCTCCCGGACACAATGAAACCCAAGCTGGCAGTGTTCCATGGCACTCATACTTATGTTTTCCGGCGTGCGGATAACGTGGCACAAAGGCGGCTAATGGCGGCACTTCCGGTGCCAGAGTCAAACACACACACATCCCTATCCTGGTGAAATGGCGAAACGGCCTCGGGGCACTCGCAAAAAATAGATCCCAAACTTGTGGTTCCCTTGCGAACAAATTTAAGTTAAGAAAAAACCCAAAAGTGTAGACTTCAAAAACTGGTACCGAGTCATATTTATCTTTGCAATATATAGTGTACTGTAAATGATGACGGGTAACATACGACAGCTATTAATAATAAACAA